GAGTATATAGAAACCAGTGCTAAACAAAGAACCAATGTTGATGCAGCATTTCACAACCTTGTAAGAGCTATCAGGTACCATGCAGTATTTTGCCTTTTTTTTAGTGTTATTGTGGGCTGTTGTTTTTCTATATTATATTAGACCAAAGGGTAGTGATTGTTCAGGTTGTGTTGAAGTATAGTTCTTTAAATGGCCAATCATAACAACCTGACACAGGCCTGGATCCAGTTGATTTATTTGTAACTGGAAAGAGGGGATTAACAGAAAATGGGGATGAAAGTAAAACAGCATTTTATACCAACAAAACATCAATGTCCACCAAAAGGATTCTATTACAAAAGAAAAGAGAATAAGATCCCAGAAAACATATTATTAAATTCAATGTCTTGTTAAAGTGGCATTGTGGTAATTTTGCGTGACAGCCGGTTTGAGAAGTCTTGAATTTGAGTGCTGGCTGCCTCAATATGCTGTATTCTTAGGCAAGACACTTAAAATGCTCACCCTACAATTCTCTACTAAAGAGTATAAAGGGGTACCATAGAACAGTCAGATAAATGTGATCTATTATGGGGAGTTAACATGTGATAGTTGAGGATATCATTCAGGAGTCATAGCTATAGTCCTTGTCTGTAAATCTTTCACTCTGTGGAGTGATCGTAACTTATATTCTTTTTACAAATGATCATATCTAGTGGACAGACAATGAAAATTGAGAAAATTGTTATCTAAGGATTATGGCCTTCATTAAACACCAACCTCCTAGAAACAGCCAGAAGAAAGAAATATATGATAATAAGTCAGGGAATTTTCTCCTTTAGCCAGGCAGTGAAAGATTGAATGTTAAAGAATCCAAAGCTCATGCAGGATGAGCTTATGTTCTTGGATCAGAAATCATTATTTGTTCTGTTTCTTTTTATAGAAAATTTTATGCACAGTTGGAAGAACAACAAAAGAAGAACAATCCCAGGAAGAAAAGTAGATGTTTAATTTTGTGACCCTCTTCATTTAGGACGTTATATTTGTTTCAAAATCTTTATGTTAGAGCATGAGATGATTGAATAGTTGTCAAATTTCTGAACAAGGCTGCGTGCTTGTTCAGGAGGAGAGAAACACTATAGAAGAACTATGTTTCAAGTTATTTTTGTACAAATTATGCATGTGGCGTTGGGCTAAATTAATGCATACAGGACGGCTTCTTAACAAATTACTTTTTTCAGTGTGGAGAGTGAAAGATGAGAGAAACTTGTGTGAATTCCTCGTTGTAAAAAGTCTGGTACAGACAAACCCAGACTATGCAAATAGTTGTATGAATTCGTGATATCATAACCCAATTGCTAACAAGCCATGACTAACCTCTAAGAGTGATAAACATCTAATTTCTCAGAAGAGTATTTCCCCAGAATCACACATCAAGGTCATGAGAATAAAGGAAATTATCGCAAACTCAAGAAGCTTTTGATTGTTAGGCTAATTCTCCCTGTAAGTAACATCGGAAATGTGTGAGGAGCAGTATCGAGAAGTTGCATACTGATGTTGGGGTGTAAAGTGTTAAGAAAGCTGTGGGTAGATGCTTAAACAAGATTCGCGTCTCTCTTTTTTTACCGTGTATTCTATACTTAATGTTATTAATGACAAAATTGTAGTCTAAAAGCTTTTAACCCAATATCTAAACATATTTATCACGAGATAACAATATTTTTTCTTGCTACTTTTATATTTTTTTCTAATTACATAAATGTGCTGAAGTGAGTTTCCCGGAGCAATGTATGTTGACACCGCGAAAGAGTTTTTGCCATTTTTTTGTTTAAATCTAATAATAAAGTTAACATTCCACAAGTTAGTTGAGGTTTCTAGTTTTAACGCTGGCCCGTCGTGTCAATGACGAACTCAAAATGCGTATACACAGGAAGAGGCTACGACAATTTTGTGAGAAAAACTAACCTGCAACCACTCAGAACGCTGAAGATTATCAAGAAGTCTTTTCAGTATTGGAGAAATCGCTTCGGAAGGGCTGCCTGCCGTCCTTACCCACGTCTAAGAACGAATTTAAAAAATTAGCGATCTGAAGGGGAATAAGCTAAAATCCATGAAACTTATAATGAATGTTGATTAACTTGGGTAAAAGTTGTACTTTAACATTAGAAATATTACAAACGATACATTTTATAGATCTTTCCAGTAATATGATAAATTAATTCATTGCGACAATCATTTAATCGTTTTTTCTCGTCATGAATTACAGACAAGACAATCCGGCTTAAGCTGCTTACCAGTGGTCTGAGCTGGTCAAGCTTTCGGTCTGAATGAATAAGTGAATGAATAAGCTTTCTCTTTCTTCCGTGATCATAGATAGAGGATATTACATGCCAGCGCGTGGATACGAATTTTATCTTCGAGTGTTTAACTCGATATCTCACAAGTGAGCAAAGCGAATGAGTGAGATATCCAGTTGAACACGAGGAGATAAAATTTGTATCCACAAGCGGGTATGTAATATTCTGTGTATTATATAGACAACGATGCGATACCAGGAAAACGATTTATTGGACTATTGGTAGAAGCTGAAGGAACTATGACAACTGTGTTATATTCACATGTGAAAGATAAAAATTGTATCTTCACTGATTACCAACTTTTCGTCACTGGAAAAATCCTGGTATGTCATCTGTGTTTTTATAATATGGTTCCCTCTCTTTTGGAGAACATTTCACTAGGTTAACGAACACAACTTGATAATCAACTGATGTGGCTGGACATTTTTGATTGATAACGGAAATCTAAGGATAGGTCGGTTCTAACGATTTGATAGCGCAGCATTGAAACAACTTGTGCCTTGACAGGTCAAGTTTTGTTCATGTTACCTAAAACGTTCATGTATTGACTATATACAGGTATGTCATGATAATTACAGGTATTACGTTCAGGAATGATAAAGTTTTCTTCTTGTTTTAAGTCAATAGCGTAAGTCTTACATGGCTGTCGGCATAGGTGGTTTTTCCAGGGGTAAGTCAAGCCTTTAACTCCCGGAAGTTTTTCAATCCCAACCACATTATTACACGAACGCATACGAATATGTACATTTTATCATACCCGCAGTCAGTGTCAACCAAGTGATGTCTTTGCGGGTCCACCCTATGACCACTAGTGTAAACCAAGAGATTGGTGCAATCCTTATTGAGATGTACAGACAGCAGCACCTTCAACGTGTTTAGGATTAAAGAATTCCCTTTCCCGGAATTCTGCTAAGGCACCGTACATAAAGGTACACAGAGATTGTCTTTTGCGTCTTGAGGAAGTAGCCTCAAACAAGAAGGTCTACTTTTCTCATCTCTTTTCGAGCTGCAACAAAAACACCAAAAAGAAATAAAAGCACTTCTAATAGCACGGGCTAAGCCGATCAGGATAAAGGAATCGTGCTCTTTAGATTACCAAAAATGTCCTCCGTACTCGCCAATCAGCGTTTAACGATTTTCCCTCTGCATTATAAACTTAAGTATTTATATTGAATGCATGTGGACAAAGAAAGTGTCTGCAGAATTTTTGTCGCAACCATCCGCTGAACTTGTAATTATAAGGGGTCGACAAAGAAAGCCTCTCCTCTCCCCCCTCCCCCCTCCCCCCTCCCCACTCTTTCTTCCTCCCGAAAAAAAAAGAGCAGTGAAAAAAAAAACACGAGGTTAACAACTGACATATTCCAAGCTTACTTTTCATGATGACAATCTCCCGTAAGTTTTACTTATACAGGTTGCAATAAGAAACAATTAAGCATCAACTAGATCTTTAACGGAAAGCGGTTTATAATCAAGTAAAATAGGCTCTGGAGTCGATTCGGAGTCGCTATTTTGGACGCTGACCCGCTTTTACACTTGTCAACCAAATTCTCTTAGTTCTTCTTGCCAAAGTTTGTCGATAATTTGGCAACAGTTGTCTCTTAACTACCCTTTGCACAGCCGCCGGGCTTGCGAAGTGCCTTCGGCCTCGCCTAACACGCGGCGTATTAGACTTATTCTGAACAAAATAGCTTGCAGAGCATTAAGGCATCTGTGTTTGTGTGTTCAGTCTAAAGAAGAGAGAGAAGACAGGCAAAAGGCGAGTATGAGGAGAGAAGTGCCCCCCCTCAAAAAATGACGCTTGGGTAGATCTTTTTTGCACCCTTCTCCTTGCTTAACGCCCGCCTCTGCTCGCTCGAATACTAAAAAGGAAAATCCCCTTGGGTATACGCTATGAACAAGGAGACGACTCATGGAAAAAACTTGACAAGGATGAAATTTGCAAGTGCAATTGACATGTCAACGACATTTGATAACTCCAACCAAGTACTATATCAAAGCTTTATTTCTCTCAAACATGGTCATGTTAACCCTCCTGGTAGTGAAAACGTACCCATTCCTCAGAATGCATCAACCGCACGTTTTCTAGTTTCACTGATTGGAAGACTGCCAGGAACCCATGGCAAGTCTCTAAGCTTTTCAAGATTTCGGTAGTAAATGGAGCCACAATTGACGTTAATTGACAACGTGTTCAACACCTAGGTGGACTTCTCGTCACGCAAAAGGAAAGTCTTAAACGAGAGTTACTACATCTATCTTTTTAGTCCTTACCTATCGCCTGAACCATGTGAGAAGTCTAAAAATAGTATAAATTTAAACACGATGAACTTTTGTTTACCCATTTTACCAAGACATCTTTCAAATTCACTTGGTAACACTTATAATGGCAAAGGTCTCCCATGTAAATTCTGTATTATGGTGTCAATATTTTTTGTCATTTCTGCAAGGATCTGTTGCTTTTCCTGAATGAAGCAACCATCCTGACCAGTTTATGTATTTAAGTGTCAGCTCCTCTTGAATAAGGAATTCCACCCGTTCATTTTCTGATTACTAACGGAGTGTGCAGGTGTATAATTACATTGTTTTCGTTCCCAGTGTAACATGCACCATGTGTTCTTTCAAGACAACGTGCCGAAAGAATTGCCTGTCTGAGCATGCTCCGTTAAGTATTCTCTGCACAAAAACCTATTCTTCTCAGCTGTTGCACTTGAGCTTTCCGCACTTAAGTTCTGTTCAGCGAGAAATCTTTTCATCTCCTTTCCAATTTGTTGCGTGATGTTCGCTTCGCATAGACCTCGTGTTTTTCGTTCGCGTCTCGGGTGTTGCATTTGCGGCGCAAAGTCTTCGAGCTCAAGATTCACGTCTTCGTCAAAATACGAGTTGTTGTTTAGAGGTTGCTTTCAATTGAATGAGGAGAGGCAAGGAGAGATCTGCAATGCCTGTGTACTTCTGGTCAAACGGTGGAAGAAACTGCCCTCTGGAAGTGCGAAGAATTGGAAACATGTAAGTTGAGAAAATCTTACTTCTTTGGGATGTCGTGTTTTCAGGAAGAGCGCAAACCGCAAATTCAAATGTCATTTGCGCTTGTGTCAATTTTTGGCTCAACTTTTTTTTTTTTAACAAAGGTCGTAGACAGTAAAGCAACAGTGAAAAGAACTACGAAGCCAAGGAGAAGTTCGAGAAATTCTATGACTGTGGAAAACGGAAACGAACTAACTTCCACGATGAACGGTTCAAGAGCAACAAGTGGTCGCAGCGCGAGTTGCGGTGGACAAGAAACTCGAGGTTGGTTATCGTCTTTATTGTTTATTAGGAAAACTTAAAACGGTAAAAACAATTCTTTTCTTGCCTAGTCTTCGATGACAGTCGCCCTGTTTTTTTCGAAGACCTCAACTGAATCGTGTGTTCATTTGACATCACTAAAATCATCTGGTTTTTTTTTGTTTTTTTTTTTTTGTCCATTTTCTACGTTCTCTTTCAAGGAAACGAAGCCCATCAATAAATGAATTAATTAAAACATAACCATTACAGAAATGGTTTGAAACTTCAATGGGAGAATGGCCAAGAAATTATTTAACTTTTTATAGTAAAGTTGTGCTTTTGAAATTACTTACATATTCCTGTTTTGCACACGAAAATGTACGATTCTGGACATTTCTAGAATTTCCTACACCTAAATAAAATCACTGAGGCTTCCCTCCCTCAATCTGCTAAGCCCTCTATCTCCTAACCATACTGTTATTTTATTTCTTTTCTTTCATGAACCCTTTACACCTTATCATCAGTATTCATATTCTCCATACTGTTCTCTGTACATTTACTGAGATGCTGACAAGGAGAATTTGTCTCACAATCAAGAATTTCTTTAGTTGGCGATCATTTCTGTTAATCTCATAACATTAATGTGTGATTCAGTGGTGATATTGTAAGGAGAAATTAGATGCTAGTCATTCTTAGGTGTGAACGGTTAAGGGGGGGAGGTTGTTTCTTTATTTTATTAACCAAGCCCAAGGGCCATTCTAGGAGAGTATTGGCTTTAAAGAAGAATGTTTGAATAAGTAAGAAGGTAAACTTTAAGCTCGGTCTCCAAATATGTTTTTAACAAGGAATCAAGCCTCAGACCTTGCAATTTTGTGCTCCGATACTTTGTCTACAGAGCAGTGGATGGTAAGCAATGCCATTTTGTGGTTTTTATGTCAAAAGCCTACTGCAATCTGCAAGGATCTATTTGCACATCAACTATTTTTGAGAAATCAAAATGGATGATAAATCAGAGAATTGTTGTTAACCCTTTAACCCCTAAGAGAGATCAACTTCTAATTTCTCCCAATGGTATCAGCCCTGAATCAAACATTAAGGTCATGAGATTAACCCTTTAACTCCCATGTATGACCAAGACAGAATTTCTCCTTACAATATCAATACAATATCAAGCAGACAAGTGATGAGAATAAATAAAAATATTAATTAGGGGATTATTAGTTGATCCAATACTGAATTCTCAAAAGCAACATCAGAAGAACTATATGGCAGACAGTAAGGAGAATTACTAATGAGATCTTGGGAGTTAAAGGATTAAAGAAAGGGATTGCAAACTCAAGAAGCTCTTAATTGTTGGACAAATTCTCTTTGTAAGCACCATAAGAAATTTTTTGAGAATGGTATGGAAAATAAGCATGCTGATGTTAGGGTGTAGGAGATCAACAGCACATTTGTAAACATGCTCTCTGCATCTCTCCTTGTGCCTTCTGTTTGGAACTGTTTGGAACTGGTTGTCTACAAAGTCATTATTTCTGTTCTCACCTCAATTGTCTATTTCTTCTCCCCTTATGGCTTTGTCCTTGGTTCCATTGAGAGCTTTCAAAATGCTATAGGACTTGAAGGATTGTGCAACCAACTCTGTTGTAATTTCCTTCCATGCTCAATTTGTCCACTGCAAAACCAGTTCCTTGCTGGGAGATCACTTCCCTCCCTGAGGGAGGGTAGATAAATTGACCATTCACCATCCATTCCTGATACTGGGTTCTGATCTCTGTTTTGAATTGCTTGTTGATACCCTTGTCAATGGGCTGCCTGGGATCACAACAACATCAGTTTTCAATCTCATGGAGATGGATGTTAATGCTTCCAGTTGTTGTACTATCCCAGGGAAGCTGTGAAGTTTGGGCCACTACTAAGTTCTTTGGCTTTCACTTCCACCATCATTCCATCAACTGACAGATTTAACAATGTAGAAACTGACTTATCAATATAGAAAGTGAGTAGTACAAAAATGGAAAGGAATGATAACAGTTAAACAATATTATAGCTGGTGATATCAATCAAATGAAATACTTATGAAATAAAATATCTTTTATCTTATAATAGTAGTCTTTTCCCATCTCTCATCTTCATTATTGTCTGAGAGGCTGGAAGAGTGTTTGCAGTATATTTACCTTTCATGGGTGGTAAACCATCACAGTTATGATTTATGACATCTGCCAATTGTTTGCAGATGATGATGAAATTGAAACAGATAGTGGGGAGATGTCACCCACGTTGATGTGTGGCTCACCAAGTCCCAGTCCCAGTGATGTGTCTGATGATTTGTCATCAGGTTCAATGACCACCTCTTCAAAACAAGTGCGTCAAGTGTCAACAGCTTCACAAACATCCTTTCTGTTCCCATCCCTTACCTCTTCAGCAAATAATAAGCTGCCATTCATTGACCTGTCAATGTGGCGACGTGAAGAAATCTGCTGTGGCACCATATTCAGAGGGCCTCATGGTGAGGTCCTTGTAGACCCTAAGCTTCTGAACCCTGTGTGTACATGCTCTTGTAGTGCCAGGCCCCCTGTACATGTTGCCGAAACAAAGAGTGTTAACTAGAAATTGTATAGTGCTCTGGCCTGAAAAGATCAGTTAAAGATTTGCTTCCAATTATGTTTCTGACAGAGTTTTTAGCACATGTTCACATGACATTGCATAAATGAATCTTGCAAATTTCAATCTGTCTTATCAAAATATAATTTGGTACAACATATACCATAGTTTCCAAGTCCTTAAAACTCAGAGCCAAAATGAACATATGTTCATGACATCATCACATACATGTACTGCAATTATGATGGTAAGACTTGAAATAATTGATATCTTCAATAGCCTTCAAATGAGTCCAGTATCATCATTTCCAAAGCAAGAGAATTATTGTCTTATAGTTAATGCATATAATATTCTCGACTAATTTTTTTTGTACTCATTTTGTATCAATATGGGTAGCGTTTAAATTGTTATCATTTTCTTTTGTTTGTTTGTTTTTCTGTTATTTTGAATATTTTGTCTCTTTTTTTTTTGTATTTTGTAAGATACTTTTTGCATTGGAAGGGCTGTTTTTGATTGTTTGCTTACTTTCTTCAGCAGTCTCAGTCTTTTTTGATAACTGCTTGCCATGCAAAACTTGATTACTCTATTTTCTTTGGTTAATTTTTGTCAACTAAAGATAACTGCAACTTTGTGGAAGTTACTGTTTATCCAGTTTACTTAAAGTCATGTTTCATTGTTAAGGAAATCACTATGAGAAACCTCAATGGACTGTACTTTTCACACATGCACACAGAGGATGCAACCATACTCTGACTCTTTGTGTCTGTTACTGTAATTACATCTTTTAACCCCCCAAGATCTGATTATTAATTTCCTCTCCAGCTACAATTCTAAACATTTCCATACAACTTAGTAACAAAAATTTGTTGTTAGGTCAATATAACAACTTTTACCTAATAACAGGCATTGAGTATTTGCAATGCCTGTTTGATGGATAGGTATGGATATTATAAGAGAGGCTACATGTTAAACACGTTTTGAAGTTGAAGGGTTTTAAAAGACATTATTACTTACTGTAGGTATCAACATGGGTTGATAGAGTAAACTACCTTTCACTTTGCTTGTTAGTAGTCTGTTGATTAGAGATCTCAAAGTGAATGCTGCTCATGATCCATCAACTCTGAAAGCTCCTTAACACAATGATAATCATCAAAGTTTAGTATATCATTTTAACAGAGAGAGCAAACAAATTCCAGTTTAGATTGTCTATATTCACTTACATATGCATGCACCTAACAATTTTCTTTTTGCAGTGCCTTAGTCCTTTTACACCAAAAATCTAAATATCAACTTTCTAAACTTTTACATATATTACTTATGTTACTTTTACTCATGTATTATTCCTTATGGGTATCTTCTGTAACTTCCCATTAGTTGAGGAAATTCATCCTAGGAAATTCACAGGGTGAGAGGGTTAAATAGGCCATTAACATCAATTGGCATATTCCAAAAATCAACAAATCAAAGGTTAAATTATCAACACAGTTCCTAAATAGCCATTCCTCACAGAGAACAATTACTCTTACCTGGAGATAATTCTTGACAATCATTGATTGTTATTACTGATACTTACTAACAGCATGGAATTTTTTTGTAGTATTATTCATTTGTTGTATTAGTTGATGTGTTCTAAATGGGGAGGCTTGCTGCAATTTTTCCATCTTTGTATATAGTTAAAATGTCAGGTTGGATTTTTAGTGTATATAGTGTTTTGACCTGCATTCATGTATACGTGTTTACAAAACTTTATTAAGTAGGTTTCTTGTGATTGTTGAAGGTAATTTTTAACTTGAAGGGCACATTTGACAAGACAACCAAGAAAAATGAGAGAAACTCAGCAGAAGCTTCAGACAATGAACACACCAAAAGTGCAGATCATCTTCAAATCCCTTTGTTATCACCAAAGTGTATTATCTTGTACACTGTCCAACATTTCAGTTCAGAACTTGAGGCTTTCCATTGAGCATGAATCTTTTTAAATCATATATTTAGATATTTAGATGTTTGTTACTACTTTCACAGTGGTATAAGTGATGGGGCACAGAAGTAAAGAGCAATTGTTTGTAAAGTATAGCAGAAAAATCAGTTACAACAAAAGTATTAGCTGTCCTCTTTCAAGCATAGTTTTGTGATCAGCACTTCTCCACCTCTTTTTGTTGTGCCTTCTTACCCTCAGTATTCATATGACATTGATTTCCCATTATCCATACCTAACTTTCTCAACTTAACTGATTGATTAATCTGGAAAGGAGGAACTACACAGAAAAAAATGTAGAAAAGTGTTCAGTGGCCTCATTGTGGGACACCTTACAAATAAGTTTGTTTTACAACATTTATATAGCATAATATCATCCTAAGGTTGCTTAGAAATATCTTTAAGTACTTTTTTTAAGTACGTCATTTATATAATTATAGCAACCTGTAATGAAGTGTGATATTTATTAATTTACAGGTACAACTATAAAATACCAGAGAATTAGAAAACACATTTGGAGCATATTGTTCCACAAAAAGTTTTTAGTTGGTGGAAGTTTACAGTTTCAAAGTATGATTTGATCCAGAAATAATGGTTTAATATAAGAATTTTTTAGAGACAGTGTAATAAAGTTTGCCAATGAAGTAAGTTATTTTTTAAGGATATTGATATAAAAATACACATGTAGATGCACACCTTTCTGTGTTGTTGTTGATTTTCCCCTTCGTTGCTTCTGAGAAAGAAATTCATGATATTGAATCAAGTCTTTGACTAGACCATCTGCTTTCCCAATTTTAACCACAAAACTGTTGAAAGGGGTGTGATGGGATTGTGGGAAGATGAAAATTCCTATGTTTATCTCTCACCTACTTAAATAGACTACCAACTCAATTTTTAACAAGGGTGGAGTCAGGATGTAGGCCTCCCCAATAGGGGCACTCTTATGGAGGTCAACAATGTAGGCAGAAATCAAACCCTCTCCAATCAGAGGAAATTGATAAATGACAAAATTAATTTTCAACTAAGGTGGAGTGAAAATGGATTCCCAATAAATGGAGGTGATCAAAGTAGATAGAGGTCAACCCCTCCCCTCCGAACAAAACGAAATATATTTGCTCTGTATTTGGCGGTGAAAGACTTGCATCACCTCAGCTTTTAAGAATAAACGTAGTCGAATGTTACAGAATCTAAAGGTGGGCTTGAAATGTAAGCCGGGAAAAAAAACTACTATTATCTCAACTATAAAAAGCATGGTTAATTTAATAATTATTTTAATCGCCTTAGAAAATTAAATTCGAACGATTAAAAAGAAATCAATGAGCGAAGCAGCACAAGATTTCTAAAAAACCGTTTTACTTGATGCCCCGATCCAATCAAGCTTGTATTACAACATTCCGGTTCGTGAGGTACTGAATTTTTTCTTTTGATATCTGGAAACTTCTCGAACTTTCAGACAAACAAAACCACATCTTCATGGAAACGTCTTCGAATTCCCGAAACAACAACTTAAAGACCAGATGAGCGACGTCGAAAGTTGAACTGTTCAAATCTAAAAGAGACGTTTAAAGAAAGTACCGTTTGTTTCTTGATGATGTAGAACTGGGAGAGGTGCACATGATCCATTTTCCTCATGGAATTTTTTACACTGCTATTTCCCTATCTTTTAGACCGAAAAATCTCTGAAGTTGATTCTGGAAACTGCCAACTTGCAGTTGAGCCCTCTTCTCCACCAAAGAAAGAAGGGAACAATGATAATGAATCGTGGAAAGACGACTGGGTCAAGCAAATCAAAGTTTCCGTGGGAAAGACACTTCGTTGCAAGGCTACTACACTCGATTCTCGTCTATGTAGGGGGACGGTACCATTTGCAATGGCGGTGATTCACCTGTTTTGTGATTTAACGGCAAATCGTGACTTCCAGAATCGGTACAATGCTGAGGTTTAATAGCTTGAAACTGCAGTGCCTTACACCCACAGAAGAGCTTAAAGAATGCGTTTCTGTATTCTTTATGATAATACCAGTATATCAAAGGATTTACGCACGAATTGAGAAACGCAATTGCATTCCACCATTTGTGTAGCGAACTTGTTACATCCGTGATTCCAAAGGGGGACAAAGTGTAACTGACTTGGGCCGGTAGCCAGCTCAGAGTGAAGACTGCAGCTGTCAGTGCACATAGCTGTAGTACAGTTTTCTGTCGAACTCGTCTGCCGTCGCTCTTCTGCCCAGCACCAAGAGAGTTCGGTGAGCGAAATTTAACGTGCGCAAAAGTCAGCCATGTTATAACACACGGCACTATAAAGTTTGCAAAGCCGTAAATTGCAATTAACGCCTGCGCACCTGTTTCACCGTATGGAGCTTCGACCGTCTCGCATTTATTTCCGACAAGTCTTTTCTCAAACATTTTGTGAATTTGTAGCGCGCAGCTCAGTATCCATGATCCCACTACATAGACGATACGGCGCCTTCGGCTGAAGTGTATCATATACTTTACCGGTCTCAGCACACAGCACCAGCGTTCCATAGCAAGGCATGTGACGAGTAAAATGGAGACCTTGGCGATTGTAAACAGGAGATATCTGTTGGCCAATAGTGCGCAGAACATGTGTCCACCAATTCCACGAGAAATCGGAATCAAGGATTGTCTGCTCACGTAGCCTGGTGTTACAATCAAGGTAAGTCCTGTGGGGAGAAGTACGACATTTCGTCAGCTGTGTCTGGTATTGCAACATGCAAGGTAGTTGCAGTTAGTTGTCATCTATATATTCTACGGCTCTAACTAACTCCTCCCATAGAGTTGTGTCGATAACTAAAGGTTTCGCCACGTTGCAAGTTCGCCCTCTTTTTGTTTATTTATTTACCCTCCCTAACTAAAAGACAATAATTATACACAAAAAGATATTATCAGTCAGGGAAACCATAACAGCCTAACCAATTATGGGGGATCCTTCGTTGATAAATATGAATAAACAATACTACTCATATGACAAAAAAAGTTCAAATTGCCAACAACGACGACGGCAGGCATAGGAGAGTCCTCGCTACTTTCACCTGGGATTGTTTCCCAGAGGTTCTGGTGTCGTCAGCGGAGTACATCTGCCACGACCCGTCCCCCCCGCCCCCCTCCCCACTAAGTGAAAATAACAACTCAGTATCAGAAAACTAATAGTATGCTAAAATAAATATATCCCGATCATATTTGTCCTTTGCCGAAGCGTCGTAGCGGGGGCGAATTTTTAAAGGCACACTTGCAATGGAGAAAACCTCTGCAAATCTTTTGTGTCGACGAGGTGAGTTCTTAACTCAATATTGTGAGTGTGCGCAGTGCCCGCTAA